ATCCGCAAATGTCACATTTGGCATGCTTCAACAAACCTTGCACAGCCACCACCATATATTCTAGTATAATAGACGTTGATGCTCCAAGAAAGAAAACAATCGAAATTATATTTATTTACAATTTAAACAGAACTGGTAAATGTTCAATGATGCAACAACAATCTTGTCCCTAAATTTAGAGTTGGCCACATGAATAATTTTTCATCATCGGCCTAAATTTTCATTACCGGTCCCAAGCTCAGGTAAATGATGAAGGTCACAGTAGGTTGACAATCAGTATGACATTAATCCTAAGACACATTTAGTATAATGATGCAACATACACTAAAATTACATTTTTCAATTCTTGACAATCAGTGACATGGAAAGAAAACATCCCTTTTGTGCAACAAGAAAATGAGTTTGGAAACAAAGTGAGTTTTTGAATAATGGGGTTCAAACAGGGGCTTCAATGATCATATAAAAAAGTATGAGCACAACTGAGAGAGAATGAAAATAAACATCTCATCTCATGTGTCTAAAGTAAGACCAAGAAATTTTAATCAATTGATGACTAATAAAATAAAAATCCCACCTTACTCGATGACAAGGTTATCCAACACAATCACAATTTATTTCCCCGCATAGTAAATAAACAAGAACCTTTTAACAAACAATCATGGCATTATATTTAAAGATCAATGGCCAGCGTACCAAATGATATAAAAGATAGAAGTTAAATCTATGTTAGACCTTGTTCAAATGCTCATATTGCTGGTTTTCGAGGCTAAATACTTCATACTGAAGATTCCCAAGCCAATCCCCTCTATCTTTTTCCTCTAAACCATTTGTAGAACCTTGCTGCGTTGTCGGTAGGCTCACCATCACCTTATCTGCAACCAGCAAACCACCACTAAAAGTTCAATTTCATACTAACTCATTTACCCTCTGATTTTTTTAGCAGATGCAAATATGTATTCATTGTTGAAACATAAAATTATATGCACACAAATAACTAATCAGTATACATTTGGCACGTGCATATACACAAAGGCCATTACAGGCAAAAAGAATCTAGCACTCTTGAACATTATAAACTCTAGGAATTGAAGATACCATATAAACTATTAACTTTAGGTTCAATATTGGAAAATGAACATTATAAACTCTAGGAATTGAAGATACCATATACTTACCTTCCAAATATTATGAAGTGGCTTCAATTGGCAACTTTAATTGTACACAAGCAACTCAAC